GATTGTCTACAGTCATCCCCACCTGCACATAGACCCTGGTGATGTAATGTAAAAACTCGACTATAAATATCACACCAATTTCGGCCCAGAAATCAGGACAGGATCAACTCGGAACCATACCGATGACTGGATAGATTGATGAATTCGCTCCTTCTCCACCCATCCCCCACTTGGGACACGGTGTGGGTAAGATTATTGATCTCAGCTAATGCTGAGAGATGTACTTGTCCTCCCCAGGGGTGTTTCGCATTTTCTTCTCAGGTGCATTTCTGTGCTTCCCTGAGTGTATCCTTGATCCTTGTTTGTCGTGACTTTACTGTCTCTTGTTCCACTGTATCCCTGTTTGATGGGCTTGTCTATTTGCCAAGCAGCTGGGCCTACAGCCGGCAAGTTGTAATTGTTGGTGGTGTGTACGTATGCGTATAGTGTGTGGTGGTGTTGTTATATTAGTGATAAACCTTGTGTTATAGCTGTAGCTTTTAATTTATCCATGGCAGTCCAAAAGAACCTGTAAATGTTTCTGTAAGTAAACAATTACTCTTTTTCTCCTGATTCGCGTCTGTCGCATATTTGGTACCGGCCGCACAAGACTGGATTGACTTCCCCATTTTTGCAACTCCTGTCCGTGGAGATGCCGTGTCCTCAGGGGCTGCCGTGCCCCCGGGGAAGCTGGGCCCATGGGATTGCCATGCCTGCATGGAGTCTCTGTCCCCAGGGCCACCATGCCCGTGGTGCTGTGCCTGTGGAGATGCCATGCCCACGGTGGTGCCATGCCTATGGGCCTGCCTGTCACCTGCTGTGCGGGTGCCAGGGATGTCACGTCCCTGGGGAGGCCATGCTCAGTGAGGGGCTGTGCTCCCAAGGATGCCATGCCCACTGGGATGCTGGTCCCTGCTGCAGGGTGGGGTGATCAGCATGACCGTCAGCTGGAACTGCAGCCTGGACCTGTCTGACAGCAGGTGCAACCCCTGCTACACTTTCTGTCACCCCCACGCCCAAAGGACTTCAGTTTACCCCGGCTACAGCTACAGGTGACAGCCCTGTCTCCTCATAGCCCCGCATCCTTCTCCAGCCTTGTCACACCATCACCACAGCACCTGTTGGTCTTCTCTACGGATGCTCCTTGGTGGGAGGGCATTGTCCAGGGGGTGCTCCAGCCTCGGGCCAACTGCTAGAGCTGGAAAGGGCCATGGTGGCAGGGCGGGATAACACTGCTCTGCCTGAGACCATCCAAGCTCCCCCTAGCTCTGACTGACCTGCTGCTCCCCTGAGGAGTTGCACCCGTGGATGGGTGGGACACGTCCTACAGCCACCTGCCACTGCTGCCCACCCCAGTCCTGCGCTCAGCCTCCCCGCCCGGGGCTGCTCACTGCAGGGGAAAGGGAGGGGACGGGGGTGTCACAGCTGGTGGCTGTGTCCCCATCCTTGAGCCCTGCAGGGCCAGGGTGGGGCTGTGCACATCCCCCAGCTGTGGTGAGGAGCTGGAGGGACATAGGGCTGCCTGCCCTGCTGCGGGGATGCAGGAGCAGGACAATGTCCCCCCATCCTGGCCCACACAGTGTCTGCAGCATTTGACACAGGCAGGGGCCTGCTGGGGGAGACAAGGGTGTGCTGCTGGGCTCCCCTGCCTTTATTTGGGTGGCATTGCCCCCCCCGAAGGGCAGCACTGCTGCAAGAGGAGGTCACCCCTGACAGCACCTTGGCATTGTCCCAGGAGCAGCGCCAAGTGCCTGGGAAGCACAGGAGGGGGCTGGCTGCAGCCCTCCTGCCCCCAAGCAGGCAGGGATGAGGCAGGGACAGGTCCTTGGTCCTTCCTGTCCAGCAAGGACACAGCTCGACACCCCCCCCCCCAACTGGAGGCATGCCCCATGGGGGGTGGGAGCTCTGAGCCGCAGACCCTTTTTCCCACCTCCTCAAAAACTACACCTGCCTTCTACAACCCATTTATTTATAGAAATCCAACATTAAAACCACCCCTGGGGGCTAGCATAGGCCTGTGGAGCACAACTCCAGCCCCTGGTGCCCCCAGCCCCCACGCCAGGCAGCTGGGGACAGGACAGCCCAGGCCCTGGCATGGCTCCCGCCTTCCCTCCCTCACCTCAGGAGAGATGTGCAGCTTCTTTAGGGTCCGATCCACGGCCAAGGGTGTCCATGACCACCCGCACAGCCCCAATGCCCCAACTGGCAGGGGGCAGGCAGGAGGAGAAGCCCACCCCCTCATTGCTGGAGCTGGGGATTGGTGCGCAGCAGCCATTCGATGGTTTCCAGGAGGTAGGCCATGCCATAGTGCTGGGCGATGTTCTGGAAGACGTTGACGTGGTCCATGAAGGTCTGGAAAGGGAGCAGGAAGGGAGGGAGGCTGCCCAACACCCCTGGGTGGCAGGGGGCTCCAGGGGGGGGCTGGGCAGGGCTGGTGGGGCAGAGTGCAGCACCGCAGGTCCCAGAGGACAAGCAGCGAGAGAAGCAGAGGAAGAACAGGGCACCACAGGGCTCCTCGCTGTCCCTCTGGGAGCTGGGGGCATGGGGCTAGGCAAGGCAGGAGGGTGCAGGCGTACCTGGGAGGAGATGGTGAGCGCAAAGTCTCCAGCACAGCTGCAGTACACGGGCATGTGTGTCTCCTTCACCCCCTGACACTTCTTGCACACCTGGAGACCAAGGAGTTTTAGGTGGGCCAGGAGACGAGGCCATGCCCCTCTGCCAGAGGCAGAGCAAATGTGTCCGGCCTGAGCCAGGCAGGGGGACAGGCAGAGCGGGGGCGCCCTGCACTCACCAGGTCCTGTAGCACAAAGGCCATCAGCTTCTTCTGCAGGCCTTCCACCAGCGCCATTTCAATGGCACTGGAGTCGTACTGCGCCTGGCAGTTGGGGCAGACCCAGCTGGGCAGCACCGACCCGTCCTAGGGGCAAAGAGGAGAGAGGTGAGCACCAAGAGTCCCCAGCACGGGGATGGTGTAACTGGTTTCTGGAGAGGATGGAGCATCAGCCAGAGCCAAGGGATGCTCAGACCTGTCACAAGCAGCTAGAAAAGGAGGTGAGCAGAAAATGGCCTTTAGCTGCGGCTGATCACCAGCAGCAAGCAGAGCTGCAAAGCGAAGGGGTCGAGAGAGAAGATGGGAAATGTGGCTGACTGGCCTCCAGCATTGCTGTGCTGGGGCCTCTGGTGTCCCCAAGAAAGAGGCTGCACCTGGGAGAGGGCAGGGTCCTTGCACAGGTCCAGGTCCCTGCAGAAGTTGCAGTTCCTGCAGATGACTTCAGGGAGCACGTAGGAGCGGCAAGGGTCCCGAAACTGGGCTGCTTCTGAGAACTCGCCCACCTCGATCAGGCGCAGCAGGTCCCGGCGCAGTTTGTTCACCTGGTTGGTTATGTTGGCATCCAGGGAGAGGACCTACAAGAACAAGAGCCAGGTGAGCCTCCCAGCAGAGAAGGGAGTGTCCTCACCCGGACTGCTCATCTCCGTGTGACTTCATATGGATGCAGGGCAAGACAAACTGCTCGTAGATCACTCCTGGAGGAAAAGCTGCAGCAAATCTGAGCCATGGACAAGGACCAAAATTTAAGCCCTGACTGCAAACCTCCAGAAAAGGCGCCTGGCCCACCCCGCTGACCTTGCAAACATATTTGATGAACTCCAGAGCTGGGTTGTTGAGGGGCAAATAGGAACCAGGCAGCACCGGGAACATGTCTGAAGGCTCAGTGGCGTTATGAGAACCAGCCATCTTCTTCTGGATCTTCTGGGTGATGGTGAAGAAGCTCTGGGTGAGCTCATTGGCTACATATTCCTGCGAGAAGGTGATCATACCTAGAGAGACAGAGCAGAGAGCACTTGAGCTGCAAGGCGGCATACGGGGACAGCAAGGTGGGTGGCTCTTGGCCTGCACCAGGGCTGCCCCGTGGCTCGGCACTCACCTGGCATGGCCCCCATCTCCCCCAGCGCCTCCTGGGACACCTGGTTGCTGCCCCTCCTCTTGACGGGGGTGCTCCCGGGGGCGTTGCGCCGCAGCTCCTCCTTCATGCTGTGGTACACAGCCACAATGTAGGCTGGGGAGACATGGGCAAGGCTCCAGCTCCAGCCTGGGCCAGCCGCCACCCCACTGCAGGCTCTCCCTGGTGCTGGGGAGGCACAAGCGACCTTGTCCCCTCCCTGGGACTGCTCACCTGACACGATCATCAGGAAGTAGCTCTGGCAGGAGGCAGCCTGGGGCAGGAACTGGGCGATGTTCCAGCTGTTCTCCAGCAGCTCCTCCACATTTGGCTCCCCTTCCTCCTCCTCCTCTTCCCCGGCTGCCTCCTCCTCCTCTTCCTCACTGTCCTCCTCCTCCAACACTTGCCTCTTTCTGGTGTCCTTCTGGAGGAGCCAGTGATATCACAGTGGTTCCTCCTGCCCAGCCAATGCCTCCCCACTCAGCTCAACCCCCAGCACCCTGCTCCTGGGGGACTGAGCGCTTCCCATCTCTTACCTCCCCGTAGAGGATGCGAGAATCCACTTTTCCCTTGATCCCTCCGTAATTTGCTGGATCCATCCAGAGCAGGAACTCCCAGCAGCGGGAGAAGGAGATGGTCAGAGAGTGGAAGATCTCCTTGGAGTGGATGCTGAAGGAAAGAGATTGCAGTCACCCACAGCATTGGCATCGTCCCTATCAGAGCCTTCTTGGTGGGACACTCTGGGTAGGAGGTGGTACTGGCAAGGAGAGAGGGGGTTCCCCTCTCCCATCCAACCACTGGCAGGAACCTCAGGGGAAGCCATGCCCAAGGAGCCTTGGCTCCCTATGCTTGGGTTGAGGTGCCTGTACCATGGCTGGGATGCTGAAGGCCAGCCAGGGGCTGAGGTGCTGGGCACCTCAAGTTCTCCTGAAGGTCCCTTCTGGATTGAATCCTATGAGTATTCTTGGAATATTACCTATAGAGGACAGCTAAGGGACAGATCTCTACTTCAGGCATGATACCAAAAGAACTGGAAAGACTTGTCCCTTTGCCAAAAAAGAAGTTCAGTGCTGAGGCCCATCAAAAGGCAAAAAATCAGGGTCCTCCTTCCTGGCCCCAAGCCCTGCCTCAGCTCCATCATCCAGGAGACTCATCTCCAGGCCCTGTTTGGCAAGCACACCCCACCTGTTGATGATGTACTCCATGTAGCTGATGGCGTCCTCGATGCGCCGCTTCTTGGTGCACAGGATGATCCGGTTGAAGTTGGCGTAAACCACCGAGGAGCCCAGACGCTTGAACTCAGCCACAAGCCTGCAGGCAGGGCACAGGGGCAGGAGTCAGCGGGCAGGAAGGCAAAGCCCAAGGAGTGGATGCAATCCGGGGAGGACGTGCTGATCCAGCACAGTCAGGGGTCGAGCATGTCAGCGATGCCACACAAAGGAGCCCACCCGAACAGTACGGGAGGTTCAACCTGCTGCCCACCCCTCTGGAGGCTGCAGCAGAGAGGAGTGACCGTGGGTGCCAACAGCATCCTGGTTGCTAACACCACTTCTGTCCCTTCCCTGTTCACCAGCCTGGCAAGCTCCAGGTCTCACTTACTGCAGGAAAAGCTTCTTCATCATGTTGTGGAGCGTGCGGTGCAGCGCCGGGTCATAGAGCAGGGAGGAAGGAGAGCGGAGCCAGCGGTAAAAGTGAATGACCTGGTTGTCTGCATAAACGTTGTGATACTGTGTGATCTCCTTCACCCAGCTCACCACCATGCTCTTCAGGATCCTGCCGGGGAGCAGAGACCAACATCACCCCACCAGCCACAAGCGACCCCTTCCCCCTTCCAGACAGGGACACGTTTTCAGATACAATGGAGGATTCAGAGCGGGATCTCTGCCAGAGCAGAGACGTGTGAGCCCTCGGCACATGAGCCACAGGGTAAAGATGTGCCCATATAACCTGGTGGAGCACAAAGAAAGGAGAAACAGGAAGGGCCAAAGTCTTCACCAACATCCCCCTACATCTGCTGGCCGAGCCACCAGGCAGCTCTGAGCCCAGGATCTTCAAAAGCCTGTTGGAGAAGATGCCTGCCCTGCCCTCAAGAGCTGAATTTCTATTTAGGGCACCCCACAAACCCCATTGCTGGCACAAGTCTGGGAAAGGCTAAAGCCAGGAGGGAATGAGAAGCAAGACCCCAAGGGGATATGCCAGGATGCTCCACCTCCTGCTGGCTTCTAGAGCCATACCTGAAAGTGTTGGAGCAGAGGGCAGTTTCATCATAGCTGGCGGGGATGTTGGCAGCTTGGTTCCCTGTCACCATGTCTTCTAGGGACGCCTGCTGAATCACGTCAAAGCTGATGCTGATGCTGGAGCCTCCTTCCATGTCGTTTATGTGGTGGGACTGCAACACCGTGTTTACAGCCAGGCTCTGGATGTCCAGCTCCAGACACACTGACAACAAACATAACCTCTCAGCAGCCAGGCAGAGCAGAGGACTGACGACGGCACCCTCCCTGCTCCTCTGCCAGAAGGGTTTTTCACAGTTCTAAGTGTGATCAATAGGTGTTGCCACACCGAGTGGGGAGATGCTTTCACAGGCATGACTGTCTTGATTGGCACTTGTCTTCCAACAAGACTTGGAGCTACTAAACCTCTGGGGACCACCAGCTTTTTCTGGAAGCTACAGCAAAGGAGCTCAGAAGAATCGACTACCACTCAAGCTGCTTCTGCCTCTGAGAAAGACCTGTCCTAGGGTCACCAGAGATGACCAGCTGAGCTAGTCTGTCCTTGGGCAGACATATTGCAGAATCTTCTGAGTGCTGCTGATGGTGGCCATGAATTGGGAAACAATTGGCATTTGGATACCTGCACACATCGCAGGTGAGACCTCCCTGCCCAGGACATGTCCCTTGCATGCACCTTGGCCGGATCGCTGCTGGAACGCCAAAGCTGCTGGTGACTACTGTCTCCACAGAGACTCTTTGGAGACCTCATGCATCCCTCTATAGGGCCTCAGAGTAGGATCCAGCTCTGCCCCAACTCAGCGCTACCACCCTACTCCCTCCTCACCTGTGGAGTAGCAGCCGGGGTTGTTTATCTCCACGGAGGCTCTCTCATCAAACTCCATGACCAGACGGTTGTCATCAGCCTCCTTACCCCCCAGGTCTGGGCGGGCTGTGGGCGAGAGCCACAGCAAGTGGTTGTGACGGCGGAGGTGGCGTGAGAAGAACAGGTCAGAGCCGAAGGTGGAGATGTCCTCGGGGAGGTTCCCAATGGGGATGTGGTAGTACCTGGGGCACAGAGGGGTGAATGGTCATCGGGGCGAGCACAGCTGCGGAGAGGACAGGGACCCCTGCCTGTCCCCTCAGGGGGCGAGGAGCCTCCCGTGGTCTCATCAAGGGCACGGCAGCCCCAGGGGAAGGCAGCTGCCCCAGGCACCTGCTCATCTCGAAAGCCTGGGAGAGGCAGGTGTCCAGGTTGAGGTAGTGGCGGATCATGCGGCGGGCAGCATGGCGCTGCCAGTCCAGGACCGAGTAGCTGATGTCATCTACCAGCCGGATAGGGACCAAGGGGAACTCCTCGATGATGGGGATCCCACTTGCCAGCCGTTTCAGGTCCCAGTTGGACTGCACGGTGACCAGCGTGGGGCCCCGGCGCTCATCCTGCGCCAAGGAGAAGAGGACATGGCCTGGTGCACCTCTCCAGTGCTGAGTGCCCTGTCCCTGCAGCAGGTCCCCACAGTGGGGACAGCACACCGCAGCACTCCTGAAGCATCCATCTCCCTGCAACCAGCTCCCCAGCTGAGCACAGGGAAGAGGGGGACACTGAGGTGGCCTTGCTGCTGCACTGCCCTAGGCAAGACAAAGCCCTTGAGCAACACCCATTTCTACCCTCAACCTTTGGGTCAGCAGCTACGTGCAGGCGCTGTTGGAACTGGTGCACCAGTGCCTTCCACAACATCCTCCCCATGTGCCTGCATGGGCAAGGTCCCCCAGGCACCTTCCTCGCACCTTCGTCTCACCTTGTAGCCCAGCAGCAGCCGCTGGATGGCTCTGTAGACGGCCTTGGGGTCGGTCTCCGCACGCACCTCGAAGGTGTGCTTGTCCGGGGGCAGCAGCTCTTCGCCCGCCTTTTCCAGCAGT